TGTTAATTAATTAGAAAAAAAAATGTTCCAGGGGGTGGGATTGAACTCAGACCTCTGCGACCAATTCAGTTCACCATGGGTTTTTTTCTTGGGGCCAAGGAAAACCTGCTCAAAGTTTTATTATAGAAATCTACTATAATTATTTTATTCTTTTTAAAAAATATTCTTAAAATTAATTTTTTCACATAAGATTGCATTGTCATCAGTTTCTAGGCTATCCTGAAAGTTTTAGCTTGATAGCTAGTCGGGAAGTGAGTGAAATTTGAGTTTCAAAATTTGATCCGGACAAACACAGACAAGAAAGTGAGTTCATAAAAACGTGGTAAAAACGTGTTAAAAAAGGTCCCCACACAAAAATAATATCACTACTAAGATGAGGATAACTCAAAAGGGCAATTGAAGCATGACTCAAATGAGCGAGACTCAAATTAATGAGCATCAAATGATCAAGACCTAAATTAGAATGACTATGATGAGAACTGCTCAAAAGATAACAATTAGAATAAAAGAGCAAGATTGAAAGGGTCACAAGACTCACAACTAAATATAAAGCATTACTTATAATATAAAAACTTTAATTAATGAAATTCAAATGATCAAGCCCAAAATCAGCAAGACTAAAATGAACTAAGATTGAAAATAAAGAGGCACAAAAATCCGTAGCATTTAAAGAGTGAGCCTTAAAAAAAAGGATGCTCCAAAAATATGAAAAAACATATCAAAACAGCAATATAAAAATCATTTAGCCCAATAACAGTGAGGTTGGGTCAGTTTGACAAAGCGGTTTAAGCCAAGGTTATTATCAAACTCAAAATGCTCTTTTGAAATTTTGCGTTTGTGATGACCCTTATTTTGTGCGAATTCTAATAAGCACAGAAATAATTTGAACATCACCACATACAGAGTTTATTCGCTGACCACTTTTTTTTTCTGAAATGAATATTCAAATAATTTTCTTATAAAATAACTGACCACGAAAATTTAAAAAGCAATTTTTCCCTGCAGACTGCAACTCGTTTAAAAAAATAAAATACAATCATCGAATTAATTAACCAACGTTTCACGCAAGGAAACTGGCTCAAGTCTCTGACCAGCGAATTAAATTCCAAATTCACAGAAGCGGAACGACTCCACATGAAAAAAAAATTCGATAAAAATGGTTAAATTTAATTGTACCTTGAGTATTATGTCGAATTGACGAGCTGTTGACCTGTCGACAGGCTTGACCTGCTCCAACTGACCGGTGCGAGGGTCAATCCGGAAGTAATCCGAGTAAGACGTGGGGAATCCGTGAAGAAAAGAATATGTGATCTTGGAATTGAGTGAATCCATGTCTTCAGCGTGGATTCTTGCTGGATGAGTGTCCACTACACCGGTGAGAACCCCACTTGTCACCTGTTATTGAGACCAAAAAATAACCAGCATGAAAGTAAATTCCAGTAAAAAAAATAACATTTTGCATTCCTTATTGATTTTGCATATTACTTTTGGAGCATCAATTATTTTTAGGCTTGATGCTCAAATAATGTTGCTTTTTCGCCTCTTCATGTTGACTCTTGCTTATTCAAGAATATATATATTTTTATAATTTGAGCATCATTAATTTGAGTTTAAATCTTTTGATCCTTTTTTTTTTGTGATGTTCTGAAACATGCTCTTTTGATCATTTGACTTGTGTTCAAGAACAAGTGGCAAATAATTCAAGTGGACTGTGGACCAAGAAACCCAAGGAAAAAAACTATACATGGCATCAAGAATCAAACATTTTTAAATATTGAATTCCTGACAAATTTTGACCTTCTGTACATTATTTTTGATCAGTCAACTGCATTTTTTGGCAATAATCTGCTAAACATCAAGATTTTTCTGTTACAATGTTTTTGTTCATTTACTATTGGCTCACATGTTTTTTTGTTCATTCCTTCAATTTGAAATGTATATTGTTTAAAAATGATAATTAAATTAAAATTCAACAGAATGATAATTAAATTCAATTCTACTTTAATTTGGAGAGGTTTTTGAAATATTAAAATTACATTTTTGCATAGCAATATTATGAGTTCTTTGAAATTTTCCGAAAATATATCACACAGACTGACCGTAAAATTTAAAATAAAATTGTTCAATTTTCTCAACAAAATAAAAACAAAACAACAAGGTGATTATTGTACTATTGAAAATCACGGCTTATATACTTCTCCCCAGCCTACTTTAATGTGCAAGGAAAAAAATGAAAAATGCGCTGATATAATCATTATTATTTCATTTTCTTCAGACCTTCTTTTGATTTTCGGTTGGGGCTTCAATCATGATTTTTTTTTAAATTCAAAATTGCAATTATTCGGAGTTCACGAGAATTTCTAGGAAAAAGCTCGTGTCCCCGAGAAGTGTGTCTCCAACAATTTCGAGTTATTATTTTTTTTCAGGGTAAAGCAAAAGGAATAAATTTTGTAAATTTCATCAATCTCAAGAGAAAAGAAGCAATTTTTTTTTCGCATTCCCCGAGTCGAAGACGATATTTACCCCAAATTCGCAGCACCGTGATTTTTTTAGCACCTGAGATTGATTTTGTCGACGTCCTTCTTAAAATAATATAAAATTCTCATGAAAGTTTTCGTTCCGCTGAACTCAAAATCATTTTTTTGACGAGTATCATGCAAATTCTGCTCTGAATGGAGAGGAAAGGAACATAAAATGTGGCCATTTTTTGCTAAGAATGCTGCTGGTGTATGTATATAGACCAATTTTTAAAATCGTGGAAGGTTATTTGCATGATGAAATTACCTCATTGTCATATGCGATTTGCAGTTTTCAATCATAATTAAACTAGTAGAGATAAATTATCAAAATAGCACGAGGGAAAAGAGAAAGTGACAAATGAGCAATAGAACTCAAATTTTTGTCGTACATTAACCGGGAATAAAGGGGTACTGCTTCACCGGATAATTCAAATTTGATTGACACTACTTGAATATTTGAATTTGTATCTCAGTCGAGGACTAAGCAGCTCATTCTTTTTTTGCATGTTAACAAGACAAGAGTTTTTATTCTTTTGATTTCAAAGAAGCTAAAAAATGTAACATGAGGTTAAATTATTTTTTTTGCCAGACACCTGCCTCAAGAATAATAATAACAAAATATTTTATAATTGCTTCAGAACCAAATAAGCTTGGCGCTTTTTATTTTTGACCTATCCGAAGTTTTATTGGCGCAAAAAATTGCGTGACGTGAAATTAATTTGCAATGTTATTCATGATTTTTTTGCTATAAAATTTGTGTTACGCTGTGAACGAATTTTATCTCAACTCTGAAGAGAAATTTAATTGATAAGATAATTTTACAAAATATTGAGAAGTGGTTTTTGGTTTCTGGGTGTCAGATATCAGCCTCAGATGAGGAGAAATTGGCAGAAATAAATGCACAGCAGTAGCAACAAACCAAAAGAAAATTCCCTTCTCAAAAGTAAAAATTTGTTGGGCTCACAAATATTCAAAAATTACAGAAATATATACAGTTTTCATACTCGTCAAAATTTGCTCAGCAATTTTTGGAAATGCTTGACACAAGCTTCTGCTGCAAAATATTTCTGGGAAACTGGACATTAAAATTTTGGGGTTTCTAGCTTTTTATAGACCTCTCAATTTTTTTTCTTGACGTTTTCAGGGAATTTTAACCTCCCCAAAGGTGGGAACTTCTGCCGGAATTGCAGCAGTTGTCAGTTGCATATATTTAGACCATTATTCCCATTTATTTTGCAGGAGAGGGGTGTTTTAGTCAGAGACAAAAGTGCTTGAGGGGGAGTTTCCCCATTTTTTTTTCCTCCCCTGGGATGGGTTTCAACTCTGGTTCCCAAGGACACTGAAGCTGGTTGTAAAACATCTTGATGGGCCCCAATAACTGTTGGGCAATTTGCTTCTCACCCCAGTGAACAAGGGTGCTGAGGAGAGAAAAACAAGGAGATGGAACCAGTGAAGGTTTCCTGGTGCATTCCAAGATTTTCAGAATTATTCTCTCTGATCTTGACTCTGATCTCTTGGTGAATTATTTATCATCAATATTTATTATAATTATTCATTATCCTTTTAATCTGATTTGTGCACAAATCTGGGGTTGTGATTTTTTGTGTATGAATTGGGAGTTTTGAATCCAGTAATAATTTCTGGATTCTTGTGATTCAAAGAACTGAATAAAATCCAGCGTGAAACTAGGAATACATATTCAATGTGTTTCCCTTGAATTATTTAACATTATCCTTTAAATCTGATTTGTGCACAAATCTGGGGTTGTGATTTCTTGTGTATGAATTGGGAGTTTTGAATCCTGTAATAATTTCTGGATACTTGTGATACAAAAAACTGAATAAAATCCAGTGTGAAACTAGGAACACATATTCAATGTGTTTCCCTTGAATTATTTATCATTATCCTTTAAATCTGATTTGTGCACAAATCTGGGGTTGTGATTTTTTGTGTATGAATTGGGAGTTTTGAATCCTGTAATAATTTCTGGATTCTTGTGATTCAAAAAAATGAATAAAATCCAGCGTGAAACTAGGAATGCATATTCAATGTGTTTCCCTTTGAATATGTGTTCTTGACCTCAAAAGGCTGATTCCTTGCATTTACATTTACCCATCCCTTCTTTTGTGAGGAATCTAATTCACACAGGGGGTGGCATTTTTTATGGCTTTATTGCTGCCAGATGTTTCTGCAATTTACTCCAATGCACCAATTGCTGTTGGTGTACTATTTGTGCCAAAAATTGATCCCTCAAGTAAAGCGCCATAAACAAGACACTCACATCAATAAAGAAATATCATTATTTCCTGATAATTTTGTTATGCTGATTTTTTGTTTGTCAGGTGAGTTTTTGGTTTAATGCGGGGACTGACTGTTAAGCCTCAATAACTCAAACCTCTGTAAGTTGAATACCTCCTTAAGTCAAATTTTTTCTGAATCCCTTAAGGGACAATACATTAAAAACCTCCCTCAGTCAAAAAGCTTTTCCCTTCAAAACTCCTTGAGTCAAATTTTCTGTGGCCTGTTGGCTATTATTTTCTTGACACAAGAAAGAAAAAAGCAAAAAAAAACAGAAATTGCAGAGTTTTGAACAGAAGTGAAAGACTTGATTTGGCAAATGAACCCTTGCCTCCAAGTTCAGCATCCTTTAAACTCATTTAAGAAGCAATTGGAGCACAAGAATATCACCATTTACAATTTTGAACAATTTTTCCATGTTTCCCAGAACAAAGGGGCTTTGTTTTGTAGATCAAACACTAAAATCTAAAACATCATATGTAAGTCAAAATTTGTTCCTGGTCCCTTGAAATTCGACTCCAACTGTACATTGGAATATGCATGAATTATTGTCCTCTTTCTCTCATCTGAAAAATATTTGGCACTTTAACAAACAAAAAAAGTGTAAAAACTATATTCTTTTGTTTCTGCTTTTTCCTCGATTAAAAAATTCTTGACTTTCACTGCAAAACTTTTCGAGCAATTTTTAAGCTAAAAAAAATTTGCGGCATACAAAATAATAAATTTGCGATTCGAGTCAGATTTCCACCTAAAAAAAAAAAGTATTTTTTCATTGGGTCTTTCGTTATGCTAGGACTCAGTGCACAGTACTGTACTTGAAAATCTACTGTACACATCTTCCTGTTTCTCACCTCTGCACGATATTCAGGACTGACACAGCGGCCGTCGACCTCGGTACAATCCGGATACCGGAAAGTGGGGTCCATATCGTCACTGTCTTTCACATGAATCGTCATCGTCGTCGTTGACGTGAACCGCTGCCCGACATCCTCAGCCCGATCCTATCATCATCAGAGAAAAAGAACGAAAAAAAAACAGTGGAAAAGAAAAGAATGAGTGCCGTCAGCAAAACCCTGCAGGAATCATCCAGAAGAAACTTTCAACTGGTTTTGGAAGAAGAAAAAAAAATGAAAAGAGTTATTGTGAATCATTTGTTAGGAATGATTTAGTGAAGTTTTAAATAGAATATGTTTTTAGAAATAAATGTCACAAAGCATTTGGTTGGGCTATGACTGGGGTGAAATTTCACCCTATTTTGAGGTTGTTATTGTAATTCAAAAACACAGTCAACACACACAATATTTAAAAAATGCTGGAGTGTGGTGTTGGTATATGAGAGCTCAGAGAAAAGTGAGTTTTTGAGATGAAGTAGGAAAACAGGAGAAATATCCTTCAAGGATGAATAAGGGTTTTTTTGGATTTTCCAGGAACTTGGCCATGAAATAACCTTGAAGGTTTCAAGAAAAAATGGGTGGTGAACCCGAGTTTTTCCTCCTTGTTTTTCAAAAGGTTAAATATCCTCCACATGAATTGGTGCCTTTTCTTAAACTCCTACATATTTTTAGAAAAAAAAAAATGAGTGGCATTCTGCACCCACGAATTTGACGAATTTTCGTAGAAGCAATTAATTTTGCATTTATTTACGAGGTACTCCAGGACCCAAAAGATTCGGGTTCATCTCCGATGAGAGACACCAGCTAATAAAATTGTACCCATCCAAATATGGGGAAGAGAGCACATAAAATTAAAATAGGTTTTTTCACAAAGAACCGATGATGCATAAAAGTTTATTTTCACATTCGCAATTTGCCTATAAATAGATTTATGAAAGCTTATGAACCCCCAGCACCCGACGTCATCTTTGTGGAAAAAATGAAGAATTTTCGAACAATAAATCCTCCGATCGGGAGAAAAAAAACTTGCAATTAAAAATAATTATTTGGGCACGCCTTCAGAGCACGAAATCCGGGTTCATCCACTGAACAAAAGCCATCAAAATTGTTACCCACGAAAGAAAATTCTTGAAAAATTATAACCTTAGTTTTTAAAAATAAAATTTACGACGGAAATTTAATTTTTGACACCATCTCCCGGCTTTCGAAGTTCTACAGTAACGAAAAAAGCCCTGATTTCAAGTTCGCTTCGTATAATTAAAAAATAAAATAACTATCAATTAACAAATGAATCGTCTGAAAAATCTCAGATTGATTTTGACAAGAAAAAAATTTAATCACGGAAGCTTCTTCAGGACACAACATTTACTTTCATTTTCAATATAGACAGAACTAATTTTTACAGAGCGAATGAAAACTCATCTACATTCAAGACACTGGACTTCAAAAAATATAAACAGGAATAAATCCATCGCTATTTTTCAGCTCCACTTTTCCGATCACAGTATTTCAAAATCAAAAGACAACAAAAGCAATGAGAACACGGGGATTTTTCCTCACCCGAAAGAAATTTTCGAGTGTGACCAAAACATGATTTATTTTTTTCAAAAGATTTTAAAATAAATTTTCTCTGGGGGAAGTTCTGCAATAAAAAATTTTGACAGTATGACGTGAAATTTGAACCGTTGACTAAAAACTCGAGTTACTGAACTGTGCTAAAATTGGGAACTCGTTTTAGATTTTAACATCAAAATTGCTTGCTAAAATGGAGCTCTGAGGCAGGTGATGGACAGATAATTTTGCAAATTCTATTATAGGGACCCCTGCATTTTATTTGCAATTGGAACGAACTCGTGTCTATTATCTCACGCAATTTTCTCGCACCCAAAAAGTAGGTCTGATTTTTTCCTGCTGAATTTTGGTTCAACTCTGGCATAAATCTTTAAACTTCTCGAGGAATTTATCTCGATCCAAAAAAATAAATTTTTTCTATACATTTTCGAGGCTGAATATTTGTAGTTGATTTCAGGTCTGAATAAATCTCGAAACGAGAAAAAGTTATTTATGAAGTGCATTATATACATTACATGAAATTTATAACAACTGATTTCTGATCAGATTGAATTGATTTTTATAAATTTGTTTAGGTTATTGAGCAATCACATATTTTTTTTCAATTTCCATCTTCTAATCCTCTCTGGATTTTTTATGCTCTTTTTAAAAGCTAAAAATGCCTTAGCTGACTCTAATGAAACCAATTTGAAAGGATTTTTAGGTTTTGAGTCAATTTCAGCTTCTGATGGACACTTTAATTGCAAAACTTCAGTCATGTTTTATGCATCACTTTTATAAAACATTATTAAACATATATTCACAAATTTTGGAAATGTATTTTCATTTCAGGGAATACCAAAGCTGCTCCTTTCTTCATCATCGTATATTCTTCATGAGTGCAGACGTGTTTTAAAGATTAAAAACTGTGAGTTGTCTTGATCTGATGAAACAAACTCAAATTTATTTTCAGATTTGCAGTTCATTTAAGGTCTGAACCATAAAATCAAGAAACTGTAAATTCAGCATGCACTTTTTTTATAACACTATTTAATAACATCTTTTTAACCATCTTGTGAAACACGTTTTTATTTCAGAGAATCAAAGTTTGTTTACTTATCATCATATATTCTTCATGAGTGCGGACATCAAAAAAGTAAAATGTGAAAAATAAATTCTTTGTATTCAAATGATCCAAAAAGCGTATCAAAAAATTTTAAAAATGAGTTTCCTCATTTCAATATTCAGAGCTGAAATCGAGTCTAATAAGCGTGAAAAATAAATTCTTTGTATTGCAATGATCCAAAAAAATGCGCATTTTATTGCGGATTTTTTGGATCATTTGAATACAAAGAATTTATTTTTCACGCTTAGACTCGATTTCAGCTCTGAATCTTGAAATGAGGAAACTTTAGCATCGTCCCACGAATCCCTGCCCCCCCAAAAATAGGTTTATACACCACGTGATACAGAACTTTTAATCAATCATTGAGTCATGGATGATTGAATCTTGCGGAAATGAACCGAGGCATTACTGGGAGAGGGTCAAGTAATCCAACATTTTTACCCTCCCTGAATTCCGACAACGCAACGGTATTTTTTCCATTGACCTCATACAGTATATACGAGCATATATATAAGAGGTTTTTGATTAATTCCACTCCACATTCCATCAGCCTTTTTTTTTACTAAATCTTACTTTTACCTTTTAAAGCAATATAAACTGTGAGGTCAAAGATCTGAAGCAGTCGTTATTCAGTTTAAGTACTTTTTAGATAGCCATGTCAAGAGGACACCTTGGGGCATTTTCTTTACCGCGTATCTGAATTTATAGGGTCGTGTAAAAATTTTGCTGTCACTTGCATATAGACACTGAGTTTGGTATGTTAGTCTGGAATTTTTACGTGGTTAGATAAATTAAAGATGGATGGAAGAGGATTCACACAATTTTTTAAAATTTCGGTTGATCATTCGCTGACTCCTGATTGATTTTTGATCAAATTGATTAAAAAAGGTTGCAATATCAAATTTTAGTTATCACTTAATTGTTGCAGAAATAAATTCATTCATCTAAATTTAGAAACAAGACTTTTGAAGTCACTGTTTGCACCAAAAGCTTGTGCATCAGTGAGATAAGAATCTAACCAAGTGCTTACCGTGCCAGATCAACAGTGAAAGAAACTTTAGAACCAATGCAGAGGTACTTGAAAAACCTTTGATGCGAACCCCAAAACTGACCCCACATGGTCTTCTTCATTGATTTGTCGGCTGATTTTATTTCTTTTTGAAAGTGAGTTTTTATTGCACAATGCGAGATTGTATTTGCTGATTGTGTGTGTGATTGTTGTCTTCATGAAACCTGTGATCAGAGACAATAACAAGAGTCCTCTTTTAACATCCAAGGAGTGAGGATGCTATTGGGCACAAATGGGCCACAATATAATTTGATGTCAAGTGTTTAACAAATAGAAATAAAACAAATAAATCAGTCTGGGACTGGACCGAGATTCCTATTGGAATTCCTATGTTAACAGAACTGTATTTCAGATAAACGAATAAATGGATAAATCAACAACTTCATGAGCTAGGGCTTGTAACAAGAATAACTGGATTAACGCAAAGTTGAACTGAATCTGACAATATAGTCTGAGGATGCTCCTTATATAATATTCGCAATAATTAACCTTCACAAGGTTTTACTTCCTTCAATGGCAGCAGGAAAAGTTATCATCAAAGATGCTCGTGCTAGGCACATCCTGTCACCGTAACAGGTACCAGGATGTGCCTGGCACTGCGATTTTGAGGAGGGGGGAATGTCGTTCAAGTTTGTAGAATTCGAGGATTTTACTCTACCCGGCATACATGCCCAACAGATGCTCCAGCTTCTCTCATTTTCTGCAGCCATAATGTAGTTTTGTACTTTTAAAATTGAATTCCCTTGGAGGCTGGGTAACTGCCTCAGCACTCAGATGTCTCTTGCATCTGGAATATTTTTAGCCATAATGTAGTTTTGTACTTTTAAAATTGAATTCCCTTGGAGGCTGGGTAACTGCCTCAGCACTCAGATGTCTCTTGCATCTTGAATGTTTTTATTGCAGCTTAAAATCTGCAATACTTGATACTTTGAAGCACCAAGGTTTAACAATCACATTTACATGCTAAATGGATTTGAACGTACAGTACTTCAAGTGTTCCCAAGTACGAAATATTCTTCTCAGGCCATTTATTCAACTGAAAGTCATGTGAAAAAGTAAAGTTCTGATCCTAGCAATTTTTATGCCAGTGATGATGACTGTACATTTTTCAATAGCAAACAAATGTCCAGTAAAGAACAGTTGCTTGATATTTTCCCCACAAAAGTTAGGAAGACAATGGCAAAATCTTTGGGTGCAAAAAAAATTTAGTCAAAGAAATCCAAATTTTTGTTTTGAAATCATACCTCACATTCCATTTTAGAGCATATACGCAGAGTATTTAACATATTTTTTCAAATTTTTGTAATTTTCTGCTGCACCAAATAAATGCTTCTAAAATCAATTCTTGACAAGAGATAGATCCTTTTGGTGGATAGGATCAACTGGCAATTGGCAAAAAAGAAAGAAAAAACTCACCCTGCCAATGATCTGAAGCAAGTAGGTTTGCTGTCTCTCAAAGTCCAGACTGTGGTTGACAACAACATGCCCAAGACTAGGAAGCACAGTGAAGTGTTCAGAGCCATCCAATGGTGAGTCAGAGATTGGCACCACAAAAAAGTCCACTTGGCCATTCACACTGTCATCAGGGTCTGTAGCTCTGACACCTCTATACACAGTTGTACCAACAGGACTCAGCTATATGTAAAAAAAGATCAATCAGTATTTTTATTAATCCATGCATTGTTTGCACTTTAAAATATTTAACACCAAAAAAGAGGGCAAAGAGGGCAAATGAATTGGACTTCGGAGGACAAAAACTTTTTCAATATTGGTCTTACAGTTTTGATGCTTTATCATGTAATGTAGCACTACTCAGCAGATTCTTTGGAGAAATCAAGAAATATAAAACAATAATTTGAAGATTATTTCCAGACATGTTTTAAATTTGCTGCAGATATGACAGACGGGCCTAATCAACACTCAAAATTGATAAAAAAAACACTTGAACAAAGTGATTATGCTTCTGGTTTTAAATATATGTCATTAAGTCAAGTCTTAATTTTATCACACAAAAAGTATCTTTCCCAGAAAAAAAACTTTTTCATGACTTAATAATACAATCTGTGCATTAAAAAGCTTGATTTTTGAGCCCTTCAGCACTAAGATCATTGAAAATATTCTGAAAATTTCAGAAAATGGGATTTTAGAAACGAATTCTTCAATTCTTTGTAAAAAAAAAAAAAGAATAACCATGCATGTAATTATCCATACCTCAGGAACATCTGCTTCATAAGGCGTCCCCAGGAATTGTGGAGCATTGTCATTGATATCTGATATTCGAATCAAAGTTGGAATGGTGATTTGTTGTCCACTGGACAAAATTTTGCAGGAAATCTGGAATAAACACTGCCAATGAAATATTGCTCACAGTGTAATAGACATTAACAACAAATGCTTACAGATATTTTAATACATGACCAAGTCAATTTTGAAGAATGTTAGAGGATCTTGGAAATTAAAAAAAGGTGAATGTACATTATAAAGTGTTGAAATTTATCCATTTAAAGTTGCCAAAACTAAATCTTACCTCACTCAAGAGTGGCCAGCTGTGAAGTTTGTTGTCTGACAAAATAGGTTTTACAGTAAATCGATATGAAACTTCGATTTACCAACTTTTAAGAAGATCACCAAATTCTGCTTGACTCTTTTCAGTTTTGATGCTTTATCATGTAATGTAGCACTACTCAGCAGATTCTTTGGAGAAATCAAGAAATATAAAACAATAATTTGAAGATTATTTCCAGACATGTTTTAAATTTGCTGCAGATATGACAGATGGGCCTAACCAACACTCAAAATTGATAAAAAAAACACTTGAACAAAGTGATTATGCTTCTGGTTTTAAATATATGTCATTAAGTCAAGTCTTAATTTTATCACACAAAAAGTATCTTTCCCAGAAAAAAACTTTTTCATGACTTAATAATACAATCTGTGCATTAAAAAGCTTGATTTTTGAGCCCATCAGCACTAAGATCATTAAAAATATTCTAAAAATTTCAGAAAATGGGATTTTAGAAACGAATTCTTCAATTCTTTGTAAAAAAAAAGAATAACCATGCATGTAATTATCCATACCTCAGGAACATCTGCTTCATAAGGCGTCCCCAAGAATTGTGGAGCATTGTCATTGATATCAGATATTCGAATCAAAGTTGGAATGGTGATTTGTTGTCCACTGGACAAAATTTTGCAGGAAATCTGGAATAAACACTGCCAATGAAATGCTGCTCACAGTGTAATAGACATTAAAAACAAATGCTTACAGATATTTTAATACATGACCAAGTCAATTTTGAAGAATGTTAGAGGACCTTGGAAATTAAAACAAAGGTCAATGTACATTATATAGTGTTGAAATTTATCCATTTAAAGTTGCCAAGACTAAATCTTACCTCACTCAAGAGTGGCCAGCTGTAAAGTTTTTCAATCAAAAAGGTCTATAAATATTGTTATCTCTGCATTTTTCTCTTGGTTTTCTCTTCAGATATTTATTAAGATTATCAATGTGTTTTCAAGTGTCAGGAATTGAATATCCTTAACAATTAAAGATTTAAAAATGTGAGGTTTAGAGTTTGAAGAGTTTGATCAAGGAATAAAACACGAGAATTTGGTTGGGCTAAGACCAGGGTGAAATCACCCTATTAGTTAAGTTGGTATAATTTGGATTTCACACAAGCATACGAGCAATATGATTGATTCTTGCAAGAGTCAATTGAAACACCACACGCAAATGCTTGGATTGGACTGTGTCAATTTTGCTGATTTTGGAAACCACAAAGACTGTCCTACAAGAACAAATACATTAGCAGTAAAAGGTTCAGCCGTGAAGGCTTTGAAATATCCATGAGAACCAAGGTCTTCTGAGGTTCTCACAAAGATAGAAAATGAAAGAGGAATGCTACTGAGAATTCGGGTTCTCTAAATCTGGCAAGTTGAATTAGTATGGCCGTTAAAATATTTGCGACATCAAGCACAAGCACTTGAACGTTCCAAGAGTTGGAAGTATAATAACATGTATAGGCAGAATTCCAAAAGGTTTTTTATTTCTATTTTTTGAGGAAGCAAGTGCACATTATTGGCCTCATCCAGCTAAACATGGCATGCTTGTGTGCATCAATTAAAGTGATGCATCTTATTCACATGTTTAACATCTTTTACCTGAAACACAGCTGAAGTCATTCCAGTAGAATCCCTATCCAAGGGCTGTAGTAATTGCAATCTTTTCCCATTGATGGCAAAATAGTTTTTCCCAGGATCATTGTCAGCAATGATTCTGAGTTTGATGTCTTCCTCTGGGTTCCCATTGATGGGCATAAACTCTGGGTTTGTTTTCTGGGACACCTCTGGAAGGAGAAGGGGAAATAAAATTGGGGTCAGCAATGTCATCTTGTGTGACAACAGTATAAAACTCACCTGCTCCCCTACTTTCTGGAATGTCCATGATCATCAAGGACTTGCCTGTTGACAGCTGACACACTGAAAGTCATTAGAAAGAAATTTATTACTTCCTGCCACCGAAAATTCCAAGTTCATGATCCTTTATACAGTTTTAAGCAGCTCCAGGAACATCATTCAAAGATAAAAGTAAAAAAAGCCCAAGAAACCCAATTCAATTGACAAGGCAAAAACCACCAAGAAGAGTGCTGAACTTATTGAAAGATTGCCACTTTTACAATTTTAAGCAATATAGAAATAATATTAGTCACATAGAAAGCAATATTCAGTTTTTTTTTAGAAAATATGGTACAGTATATATTGGAACAGAAATTTTCCCTGAACAGGAAAGCCTAACAAATTTACAAATGTTCAAATTGGATTTTATTGACGAAATTATATGAAGAATTGTCTGCTTTCTTTGTATTAGTATGATGAGCACATTCATAAAAAAATCACTCAGGCAGAAAGTTTTTTTTTCTGAATGACTGTTGAATTGGTTTGTTAGACCAGCAGGGTTGTCCTAATCACACGTGTCTTTGAATTATTGCCAAGTAGTTCCAATGCAAGAACATTCCATTTATTTTGATGGATACTTCAGATTGTTTCAAAATTTTGTCAAAAATTTAAAGCATGACTTTTACACTGTGATGGATACAAAAGTTAAAATTATTAGTCCTACTTCTTCGTGGCCTTGGTGGACAGAAAGAATATTCAGCACGTATTTAAAGACGAACTTCCTCTTCTCATCATTAAATTTTTAAAAAGACAAACCTTTTTTTAAATCAATTATTTTTCCTCAGCTGTTCCGGAAATATTGCTTTTATTATCAATTTTGTTTTTCTGGGCAACCCTGTACAATCCGAACCTTAGCAAGAGTTACTCATGAATGAAACAACTTCTAATAAGTTTAAAAAAAAATTAAGACAAGGATCAAAAATCTCATATGGTGACGAATCTAAAATTCAATTGAAATCAGATATCAAAATCTTTTCCAGGGAAGCTTCCCTCGTTCCAACAGGAATATCTTAATTATATACCGGAAAACCAAAAGGTTCTTTGTTTCATTAATTGAGTGTCAAGACAACGGGAAGATGGGTCGAACAGTTACAGTACCGTCGTTAATTCTCGGTGCACATGAATTTCCGGTACCAACCACCTTTTCACAGCTACAGCTTGTCGACGTCGATGTCGATGTTGACCTGACGTGAAGCACGGAACGCACAACTTTATTCTTCGTTTGTGTTGGCATTGCACACCTCAACAGCAACGTCAGTTTTCTCAAACTTCATATTGTCAACTCGAAAAAAAAGCGAAACAATTTGTAAAAAAAAAAAAAAAACCGCCAACCACTCGTCACAAAGAAAGAAATAAAACTGGAAAAAACAACCTGCGCAAAAGAAAGAAAAGCCGGGTGTAAACAATCAATAAGTCAGACAGTCACACTTCACTGAACAAGTAAATAACAGGTTGAATAGCATTGTTCATGAGAATGAATCATGTGCTCACTGGAGCTGTTCACTTTGAATGTGCAAACCACCAGAGCTGAAACAAAAGAATCTGTAATGTTTCTGAGATGAGGTTTGCATTTTGTTGTTGTTGCTGTTGTTTTTTTTGCATGAATTTACAAGGGAATGGTTACAGTTGGCACAGTCCAGGAAATGGAGCCCCTGCTAGAAAAAAATCCTTCCCATATTTGAATTATCATCATTTTTTTATGTCTGTGAGATCAAAAATTTAATAAGCATGGAACACTTTCTGATAGATGATTATTTTCAGGAAAAGATTCAGGCAGCTTGATCACAATGTATCAAGGTATTTTTCTAAGATGCAACTATGTAGTTGTATGATTGTCAAATTTTTGTACATTCTGTCAATCAGGAGGCAAGAACATTTTTCTTTTAACCCTTGGATGTTGGAGGTTTCCTGGCCATCCTGTTGCAAAGTCAGGATTTTTTTGGGGGAGGGGCATTTCAGTTTGACCAAAGGTCACAAAAATGCCCCCAGGTGGCCAAGGCTTAAGTTGGGAAAAATCTGAGCGCAGAAAATCCCATTGTTTCAAGAAATCCCCAATTTTAATCCTATGCTGGGAATGCATGAAACAATTCCACCAAGGATAAGGAATTTATTTTTTTAGCAAACATTTTTTGCAAGACTCTAAAAAATATTGGACTTTTTCCTGACTTATTCCTTGGTTCAAAAATCAAATTTTTTTTAAATTTGCAGAACTCATGGGGACAAAGTTTTGCAAAAATATCCTGACTTTCCCACACAAGGGTTATTGAAGCAGTGGTCCCCATCCTGTGCATGGTTAATGGACCAGTACCAGTCTGCAAACATTTTTTGCTGGTTTCTGGGACATTTTCTTCAGCAAAATCAATTTTTCAAATGCAGCATTCAAGTCTTTTACCTATAACTGCACTTTTGGAAAGACAATAATGGCAGTTTAAATTATCTCATAAAAATTATAAGTGGAATTTTATCCTGATAATGCTTCAAACACATTTTCACCTGTTGAAATACACCACTTCAATTTTTCATTCTGAGAGAACTCTGATGGAAACCCAACTTTCTAATTCTTTAAAGACATACCACTACATCTGGTTCATTGGTTCTTAACTTAATTGTTTCAAGAAAGCACTTTGATGAACGTTATTTCAGAAAGGTTGTTAAAAAAAAATAAGACGTTGTTAAAATACTTTGAAACGACCAGGTGTCTTTAACAAAACTTTTAAACTTCCAGTTACACGGGTTTTACCAACCCCTTAACTGCAATAAATTCAACAAATAATTATACAGATCTATCTTGCATATCCTGCAAAAATTGATTTTTTCATGAATTATTCAATAAAAATCAATTTTCACCAGCATATTGCAGTGGAAAATACATTCCCTCTTTTACAAATTCAGTAAATTTATATTCATAACTTCAGAAATAAGATTATTTTCTCTCAGGTATACTACAGTACTGTATTTTCAATGTAATCAATTTTTGAAGACAATCATTTTTAAAATTCCCTGTTGGATGCAACATTTTACTCCACACTACACCGGCAAGTACAGTATGCTCCATTCCACATATACAAAATATAAATGAGTGCAATACACTGCATTACATGGGGAAGAAGACTCTCTATAGCTTACTACTATATAGTGGGGAAATTTGGTCACAGAACCGACCATTTTTTCATAGTTGAAACAACGTTAGTTTATATATTTTTATTCCTTTTTTTGCTTGAGGGCAGAGTTTGGCATTAGCGGATTGCGTGACAGAGGGGCGAACCAGATCAAGGACGCGCTATTCCCCCACAACTGCTGCTATATACCCATGGATTCCTTTTTTTTGTTTTTGTTCTGAACTTTTGTACACTGGAACACACATATACGTGCACTCGAACACCGACACCTGAGCATATCATGATTGTGTGATGACAATCCATCACAAAGAAGGGATATGAAAATAAAAAAAAAAGAATAACGGCGGAAAATGTGAACAGGTGCAACTTTTTGAATTCTTCGCAAAGGGTCCTCAATAAGTCATGTAAATTTGAGGAACTAACAATTAGCAGTATCTGTTGGTTCTCTTGAAAGGTTTCTCGGGGTCTAAAAATTTATTTTTTGCCAACAAGTATTCTTTGCTTGAATATTGAAAGCAATGAAATTTATTTCAGCCACAAATCTGCAGAAAAATGCACTGGTTGATTATTTGACACTTGGCACTTTTGATTTTCAATTTTTTGCAACACGATTTCATAGCGATTTTTTTCTGGGGATTTTTCGTACTTCGTGGAATTTTGCACATTTGATCGAAAAGTAATCAATCGCAAGAAATGGAAAATGGTGGCACACTTCCATCCAGCAAAAATCTCTTGCCATTGAAACCGCAAAAATATTTCCACTTTTTATTTTTTTGTAAATAAAAAAGATTTTATAAACTGGAAAATTTGAATAAATGTGAAAAAAATAATAAGCAACAAGGCTACATAATTTTAAAATTTTCAACTGTCTTAGTCAGCAATAATACGCACATGATGGTGAAATTTAAAGAAAAATCTGGCCGTATCAAAAGTTTTCAATTTTCATCACTCATGCAGTGATGTGACACAAAAAGTTTTGAAAATCCGTTTTTTTATAGTCTCCGGATTTTGTAGTAGTATTCCTTTAAATATTTTAAGGAAAGGCTAATTTTTTTAGTTAAATACTTATAGTCTTTTACCCAACGGAACCCTTTTAGGAGCGTGATATATAGAGAATGTTGAAAGTGCAAAATCAATCGAAAAAGAAAATAAAATCTAAATAAAACCTAAACATTTTCGAGGAGCGCCTCAGAAAAATATAAGCGACGACCATTTTCTTCAGCGGACGCGTCATTTTTCCATATTCGAGAAATTTCGTTTTCAATCTTAAGATTAAAATAGAAAAAAATGTACAGAAATCTCCTGTCTCTTAAGTACATTCGTATTGAAAAACAATGAAAAGCACCAACCAGAAAAACAAATTTTCCGAGTGCCAGAGGAAATAAAAAAGCATTTATCATATAATAACCCTTTCTCAAGCTCCACGACACAATTTTCCCAATCTAAAAAAAAAATTTGCCCCGTACATAAATCAGCTAATTTTTCCACCTCACGAATCGATTTTCACAATCACCAGGATGTCGAATAAATCCCGTCACTATCGACGCCATTAATTTTTCTGCACTGAACACCTGAAGTCTATATATTTGACGACTTCGCTAAAAAAAAAAAGTACTGCGCAAAAAAAAAGTACTTTCCACTGGTTCGATAAAATGAGTCATCTTGGCAGCATATATATATGAAGTCGACACTTCCGTCGTCGATGGGAAACCCTCACAAATATATTTTTTCCCGTCGCTCATTTTTTTTTCCTTCTGGAATTTCCGCAGAGTTCCGGAAAGAGAAAGAAATGTGTCGACATGGTGAAAAGGAATTCAGAGAAACGTGAGTTTTTTCGCGAAGCGCATATTTTCCCTCTTTGGTGTTGTTCTACCAGGAAAATCGTGATATTGACCAAATTGGGGG